TTCTAGCTTTTCTGGGTCTCGAGTTGAAAGTGGGTGACAAAAAATGCGAACACACAGACACACACAGCCTCTTCCCATGCGTTTTTGCAATTTACATGTATGCAAAAACGCATAAAAAAGATAAAATTATGAGATAACTTGAATAACTCTGTATCGACCTTTTGCGATTTATTAGTTGCAGTATTCGGTTTGATGGGCAATTTTACGAGTTTTTGTAAGTTAAAGTTAAGTCTGGATAAAAAATAAGGCGGAACTTTCCTGACGCTTGATTTTTTTGTTTTTCCCCGATCGGAATTAATGATTTTCTGGCACAATGACATGTGTTGAAAAATTTTTCACACAAATTTGATCAGTTATCAGGTTCCAGGTTTGCAAACGATACACTGATCCGTGAAACGACGCCAAATGTAATTATTGGTGAGGAGGGACGTTACCTTCAGGTTCTTTTTCCTTATTTTTCGACGACTTTTTATGTTAATTTTATAAGGCATGCAGTTTTGTTTCAAGTTTCGTCTCTTTTCCAAAGCAGCATATATAAATCAGAAGAAAGAAATGAAATACGTGCAGTTTTTCTTGTCCGAGACTTGCAGAATTGCTATGGTTTAGTAGCACCAGATTTTGTTCATTTTGCTTGAATCAAAAAACTTTTCCTGATCGGACAAGAGAAGGTTGGGTTCAGATGTTGTTTTATGAATTTGTTAGCAGCTCTGGTACCTTTTTTGTCCAAAAGCTGAAGTGTAAAAGGTCTTCAAATTAAAGAGTCGAGTTAATCCTGCTAGCCACTGATTAAAATATTTGTTTTATAGACACTGTTTACAGATCAATAACATATCGTTGAAAGACGGTGGAGCATACAAATGTGTCGCATCAAACGTTGCCGGCAAGGATGAATTACTCTACACAGTGGCCATCGTCCGTAAGTAACGCTCTGTGGCTTCATTCAACTTTTTGAAATTTATGCTAACAGGAAATTACGGAGCCGTACCACTAGGGAAATGAAAACTTCAGTTTTTTCCTGTCATAAACCCCTAAGAATTTTGAAGCGAAGACGCATTCCGCCTGCTCGGGCGTTCTTCAGTATTCCTTCTCGGAGCCTCATCCGAGTCGATCGAACGACGAATATTCCCGACAAAACTCGGCAGGTAACGAGGAAAGTACAGGAGCTCAGTGCTTGAGAAGTCAACCCTCTGTTCCCGAAAAGTGGACCCATAATGAATAACTTATATAGATGAGCGGGACGCGAATTCAGTGATGGGAGGAAGTCCATGTACAAAGCATACAAAACAAAAGGGCATAGACTTGTGAAGAGAGGGCGTTCACCTTCTCAGATTTGCCGCGCGTGCGCTTGAGCGCTTATTTTTCGATTCATCTTACTAAAAACAATCAAAACAATAGGCTACTCTGGCAAATTTTGTTTCATTTTATCTTTCGTTAATGAGTTGTGTTCAAAAAAAAAAAAAATTGAAATAAGAACGTTCCTGTTAAAATACGAGCTGTCGATGAGTAGTTTCCACGAAAAAGTAAACGATCTCGTGGCCATTCTCCGAACATTTGTACATACAGTGTGCAAGCGGCGGGTACTAGCGGGAGGTATGCATCGCTGGAACGAGGGAATTGACGCAACCGCGCGTGACGTTTGGAAGCATCTCAATAATATCATTAAATGGAGTACTCATACTGACCGCTAGGGCTGTTTGGCAATCTTGACAGTGAGCTAATAACTAATGTTGAATATCGTCCAGCGAACACGCTTAATTCTTGTTGAATAATAAATTCTGACGCAAATTCCTTATGCATGTTTTTCTGGCTTCATTTATTACATCAGTAACGTCAGAAATATAATGCTTGTGAAATGGCCAGTTTTCCAGAGGCACCAACAGTATTAAGTGGCGGTACTCATCAGGTTGTCGAGGGCGAAGAAGTTCAGATTGTTTGTAATGTAAACGGAGAGCCACCGCCAGTGGTCACTTGGCAGAGGAATGGGATGCGTGTAGAGACTGGAATACGATACATCACTGAGGATGAGGTTAAATTTCAGTTTATCGAGTTAACTTTACTTTCGCAAAGGAAAAAAGACATAAAGCAAGAAATTCATAATAATATTTTGAAAATTTGAGGGAAATCGGAGAAATTCCTTGAAATCTTTCAGCAAAGCTTCACTGAAATTGACAACATTCGTACTGCTATAGGTGCTTCGGATATTGGACGCACGGAGCTCAGATTCAGGCTTATACGTTTGCGTGGCAACAAATGAAGCAGGTACAGCGCAGCAAGCATTCACACTGGAAGTACTAGGTAATCCTCGTCTCTAATTTTAAATTTAACTTCCGATGCAATCAAAAAGGCGTACTTCTCTTCTGCTTCTGTGAAGTTAAATCAGCTTTACGAAATTGAAAATTGCTTTAGAATGAAGTGGTAATTTCGTGATTTGGTTAAACTGGTAGGTAAAACTTAGGAAATAATCTTTTACGTTGAAATACAGAACTGCTGACCTAAGAAGTTCATTTTGGCGGTAAAAAATTATCACATTTTAAAATTTTAAAGAGTCATCAAATTTTTTACTTGAATGTTATATAGTCGTAAGAATTATTTCGAAAACAATCTGAATTTTGGTTTTACTATTTTATGCAGAGAGCGATAAGAGCGAGTTTGACTGCAAACCACATATACATACGTGCATGCAAGCTCTCGTCAGAATGCTTTTCAGCGCTATAGCCAGCAAAAACGCATATTGTCGAGAGGCTGTCTGTGTGTATGTTCGAAAAACGAGTGCATTTTGTCACCCACTTTCAACTCGGCAACCAGGAAAGCTGGGGGGCTGAAACTTC